TTCAAACCATTTCTAAAGGAATCCTAAAAGAGAGAGTCCATCCATGAGTCTTTCAAATGCGAGACCCGATTATCCTGAAGAGTATTCCTTCTTCCTTTTCCCAATACCTGTTAGCCCCACAGTTCTTTCCACCAACCGGAGCAGGAGAGGCAACTTATTGTAACATTCTTCACTTACTGTCCAAATCTGGGTTGTGGCCAGGAAACTGAGGATTGGGGCTATTTGTTTTATAAAAATAATACAGTCAACCCACTGAGATTTAGTATCTGTGCCCAGGATACAACCAAAATGTAAGAGAGGAATTATTGATTTAGAATGGAAATGAATGAATAAGTGGAGGTGCGAGGTTTAAATGTTACTGATTTTGAAAGGTTGTACACGGTTCTTTAAAGGTAAGCTATAAATGGATGCTAGTTAATACATTAGCTACTATGTGAGGTATGGAAAATTAATGAAAAAAATCTATCTGTATTTTAGATGAGTAAGTCCCCAAATAACTGCTCCACATGCATATTTAAATTTCATCATCTGTCCTTTTGCATAGGATAGGATGAGCAACCTATCAGCATGAAGCCTGTACTTCAAGCTGCCTCCACATAATAACCTGATACTAATATCTGAGTGTATACAACGCATATTAATTTGTTAATTAGATGTCAAGATGATGATGCTGAGCACTCACTGTTTCTCAGCTTTTGACTTGGCCCTTTTTCTATTGTCTGTAGAAGATACGAGAGGAAGAGAATTCTCAAAATTTAAATCTCATTACTATGTGGATTGACCGCAAGTATTGTTGTTACTTCTTGGTTATACAAAAGGAGTATCCCTTTTCAACTGATCATATTAGTGGTTAATTCTGATAGCACATGTGAAAAATATATTAAATTCTGCATTTGTCAAGGTATAATTGTAATGATTAAGAGCTGAAAAAGAAAACCTTTACTTAGTGATAGGAAAATCTTAAAGGAATTTTTATAAAGCAGTCTACATTGTGTTCTCTTTTTAAATAAAACGTGTATCATGATGGATTAAAAATTGGCAAAATATATAAAAGTAAAGAATGAATATATATAGTAGCGTAATTCAGGATGATTTAAATTCCTTCTTTTGCAAGATAAATTTTCTATAGTAGATGTGTACTATTTTTAGCATAAGAAAAAAAATTTTTTTTTTAGGTGAATCAGAACTACGTATCTGCTTTGATTTTGAAACACTGTGGCAAAAAATATTCTAAAAACTATTTCACATATGCATCATTCAAAACATAGTTGCCTTTGTTCAGAGTCTCTGGTCCCTATTTTATGGTCAAAATGTGTACCACAGATGGTTCATAGTGAGCTGAGAGGGCTATGGGGCAGTGGGGTGGACCTTGGGCTATTGAAATCCTGCCTCATGTGCAGCTTCTTCCTCAACCCACTGTGCTGCACACATATCATTTCCTTTGAGATCTACACCATGAAAAAAGGTTACAACACATTAGTTAGATTTCCTTGCTTCAGCCCCTGGAATATCATTCTGACCCCAAAAGAATGACTTAATAAGCTCTGTCCTGAACAATTATCCTTCTGACAGGAAAATCAAGAAGGGCTTCCTAAATTAGAACGTATAGAGTGTTGACATATCAACATTTTCAAATAAAGAATAAAAACATCTTGAATGTGAAGCATATTCTTGAATTGATGCTTGCTCAATAATGTCAGAAAATGGCAACAGATCCGAATGGCCAAAGAAAAGATCATGGCCCTAAAGACCAGTCTATTTTTAGCCACATACATGTATCTAATCTTTCCACAATAAGAATATGGCCAATTTGGCTGACATTTTAGTTAGTAAAATAGGTAAAATAAAAAAAGTTGTTATTTAAAAATTCCTACTTAATATCTTTTTTACTCTGACCAGACATTTTCCTCATTACTTATTAAAAATAATTTGTCAACTTTTTCTGGATGTTGAGAAGTACTTATTGATAAATTGTAATTTGACCCAGAAGGAAATCTTGTGCTTATGGGCAGGTGTAGCTTTTAAAATAAAAGGGGTTGTTGTTTGTCTCTAGACTTTGCTGCAGGAGAAGAATCAAAGAAACAAGATAGAATCATGTAAGACCCATAGATCAGAGAGGTGGAAACCACCCTCCTGACCATGGTCCCTGGATGTCCGTTAAAAGATCCGAAAAGATAATAGTTTATATTCACACACTTTTCCCTATTACCTTACATGGCAATTACATTAAAAAAAATACTTAGAAACAGAAAACTCATCTCTTATTATGAGCTACACTGTCAGATATCATCCATTGATTTTAGTACATGTAATTCCATAAAGTAAAGCTCATGGCAGTGATTTTTCCTCAAATTGTGGCAAGTGTAAAAAGCAATGACCATATTTTGCAAATGAAAATCCCAGTTTTTAAAAAGTGATTTATAAATAGTAATGGGAGTTTCAAGAGGTTGTTCACCACAGTATCTCCAGGATTGAGTACAATGGCTTGCACATATTAGCCATTAAATAAATATTTGTTACATGAGGAATGTTCTCTGACCTTCTCTTATATCACATGGCTTATAATCTGGCACAGGTTTTTTTTTAATATGTAGCCATAGGTTTCTCAACAACAGACAGTAGGAACCGGGGAAGGAACATGTCTATTATGTATGCCATCATATTCCAATAGCCTGTAAATACCTATATGCACACAGTTGAATGAATTAAAGAAAGGCCCATGGTGTGTCTTATTTACCTATCATCCTAAGTAATCATACAAGGCATGTGGCTTCATTCCTATTTCTTTTTTTTTTTTTTAATTGCATTTATTTATTTGAGAGAGAGAGAGAAAGAACAGGGGGAGGGGCAGAGGGAGAAGCAGGCTTCCCGCTGAGCCGGGAACCCAAGTCAGGGCTCCATCCCACGACCCTGAGATCATGACCTGAGCGGAAGTCAGATGCTTAACCTACTGAGCCACCCAGGCACCCCTTGATTCCTTTTTGATTAAGAATATCCTTGCAACAATGCAGACTTACTGATTGTGCCACTGAACTAGGAGAATGCTGCATCAACTAAGGCAGACCTGTGCCAACTTGTCCATCATTTATTTTTTCTGTGAAATAACTTCTGAAAATATGTTTCTGTTATTTTGGAGAATATCCCCGTCTCTCACAGCAGGGAAATTATGTTCATTCGATTGGTGCTGGAGAAGCTGGAATCTGAGAGAGAGTGAGCCTAGTGCTCATTTTGGGTTAATTCTTTATTTTTTCCTGTAAAATACTCTCGAAGACCTTCATCCCCTTAGATTAGTGGGAGAGTAGCTGGCAGGATTTAGAGAAATCTCACAAAGCTCAACATCCTTCCTTTAAAATAAACTTAGGTTTAAAGTACCAGATCCTGTTCTTTCTTGCTAGGCCCACTGAACTCTACCCCCACTCCCAACAATGAAACCAGACACGCTTGAATTCACATTCTTGCTGTCATTTGTGAATTGTTTAACTCAGGCAGGTTACTTCAGCTCTGAGCCTCAGCTCCTTATTTGTGAAGCTTCGATGACAATACGAGCGCGTACCCTGTATGATTCTGGTGGGGATTCGATTATGTAGATATACACAGAGTGCTTAATGAGGATTATGTCCATCATCACTAATCCTCATTATAAATTGCTTAGTATGGAGCCCTAATAGGTAGGTGCTTCATGTGTGGTAGCAGCAACTAATCGCATTCTAAACACCGATGAGACTCTAAAAACAGAAGCTGCGTCCCACAGCTGTACCCTCATATTGACTTAACTGCTGTTGTTTAGTTTCCTCATTAGAAAATGGAGTTAAAACACTTAATAGTTCAATTTATCATAAAAGATAAATGAGAAGATAGATGTAAGTAAGCAGCTTACGGATGGCAGTCACCGTGGGAACGGGTTATTTGTCTACTCCTGTTTCTGAGGTTGGCCTTGTGATACTCCACCCGGAGAAGCAGAGAAGCGAGTCGGTTAGGTAACTAGTTTCAAGGAGGGTGCACTTCCTCCTTTCCTCCCGAGGTAGCATTCGTGATGTCTTCTACTGCTCCCCATAAAGAGGAACAGAGTGGCTTTGGTATTACTTCAATAAAAACTGGGGCCCCAAAACATTTAAATCAGTGTCCTTTTTCAAAGTGGACAAGCAGTGACATTGCATATGTATTTTAAGGAACGAGAGACTACCTTTCAAAAGTGATATGCTATATGGATATGTCATGGATACTCAATACATCTTATTGAATTGAATTAAAATTAATATTAAGTAGTATTTTAATTAAAGAGTGTGTTTTTGAAATTAATTTTATAGACTGACATGCTATTTGACTATTCTTTTTAAAAAATTTTTTTTTATTTTTATAAACATATAATGTATTATTAGCCCCAGGGATACAGGTCTGTGAATTGCCAGGTTTACACACTTCACAGCACTCACCATAGCACATACCCTCCCCAATGTCCATAACCCCACCACCCTCTCCCTACCCCTCTCCCCCCGGCCACCCTCAGTTTGTTTTGTGACATTAAGAGTCTCTTATGGTTTTTGACTATTAATTCTTATGCCAAGCGTTATATGGCACTTCTAAGAGCTACAAGAAAATAACTTGAAAGCCACAGTTTCGGCCCTTAAATGTTTTGAAATATTTTGACTGTGTATTACTCCTCCATGATCTTTGTGACAGCAGGAAAGACACAGCATTGTTGTCAAATCAATGAGTCAGACAATGGACATAGTGGAACATATAAGACACTGTTCAAAATGCTCACTGTTGTTGTTGAAAATGATCTATGATTTTGATTAATTGCTTTTGAAATTTTGATCAAAATTGATCTGTCCAGGTTTCTGGTACTGGCTCTTGTATGTCAGACCTCACCCTGGAATTACATAAATCAGTTTAGCCTGGACTTCTGTAAAAACCGGGGGTAGAAAGAAGTAATTTCTGAGTTGTCAGTGACTGATGGATGTTCTGATTTCACAGATTTAGTAAAGAAAAGGTCTTACCGTAGCTGTCATAGGCATCCTCACTTACTCCATGACCGTAGTCATAGTATTCAGGGACACTGCAACAGATTTAGACAGCAATCAATGCTACTGTAATCAGGAGGAATCAACCCAGAAACTCATATGGAATTTGAAAGCAAAATGTGTGCTAAAGTAATATCCTGAGAACCTTCTAGGCATCAAACACAATCCTAAAAAAAAAAAAAAAAAATTCAGGAAGAAAAATACAGGTTATTGACAAAGAGTGCTATGATTTTCTCATGGCACCTCAGAACTTCTTTATCTCTAACCTCCAATTTTATAAATCAAATTTTGCTTAAAACACAAGTATAATACTTCAAAATTTGTCAAGAGGGAAGTTATAAAGATCTATTTCCAAGAAAAAGTGCTATAGAAGATGACAATTTGCCCAATTGTGTATGGCTCTTAACCCTGTTACCCTAAGAAATATGCATCCCCTTCATCTTCACTTCCTAACACTGAAATTATATTTATACGCCCCTCTAGCCCTTCCACAGCCTGTCCATGCCCTTCTCAAATAGATAAGTGATTTATTTTTAATATTTTACTAGATGCTTCCCCGTTTCAATAACTGACAAGAAGGTGTCCTTCCTCCATTTCTTACTCAAGTTACTTCAAGTCTTCCCTCACTACGGATCTCATCACTCTGTCCTGCACCGTTTTCCCCTAAAGGCACCATTCTCATTAGCATTCATGCATTTCATCCCCGAAAAGTCCTCTCTCACCCTCACTTCCCCACACAGGGATATGACTACCCCTTTCTCTGACCCTTTCTGGTAAAATTTCTTGAAAAGAGGCAAATGTTCATTCTTTTCACTGCCTCTCCTTTTATACATATGTTTTTGAAGACAGTCCAATCAAGCTGTTGTCTCCAATGACGTAGCTCTTGTCAGTACCTTGACATTTCAAATCTAGTGGTGGAGAGGTGGTCCTCGGTTTACATTAGCACCATTTAACACCGTTGACCACTTCCTGCTCCTGGGACCATTCCACTTGCTTCTGAGATGTCCTCAGAATAAACAGTAGCTACTTATATTAATATGCTCACATTGATAATTTATGAGACCCTGTATTTTTCCTGCAAATAAGCTCCTTCATTTTACGTCCTCAGCTTGAATCTTAGTTTCTGATTTATATATTATATACATAATAAATTTGTAAGTTATGTCTAGATTATTAATTTCTCTTAATTATATAAAGTGTGGTGAGAAAAATGGCTTAATATCAAATACTAAATTGTATAAGAACTGAGGGTGGGCCACAGATACCAAAGGGTTAGGTTGAAAGACACAAAAGCCTAAAATTCTGTGGTTGTCATTATCCCTCAGGGAAATCCCATAGGTGTCATTATATTAAACACTTCAGATTTCACTGACAGTAAGGAAAAAGAAGCAAAAAAGATAATACAGGTCTATGTATTAGAGGTGAAAAAGAGAAATAGAGAGAAGTTTGGCCCTCTTTATCTTTCTGGGAGGCAACTGATAATGCATTAATTCAATTTTTAGTGTAAAATAGAAAAAATAAAAGAAGAAGGCTACTGAACCTAAACTTCATTGTCCAGAATGTTTATACACAAACTGTCTAGGAAAAAAGCATGGCAATATGTTTTTCTTCCCATCTCTGGGACTATATAAGTCTAAGGCCATTGACTGTCGGCTGGATGTTTATCCCTTCTTACGCATCCTTCACTTAATAGAAGTGATATAACCTATTTGAGAACCCTCATTAATATGTAGTAAATTCCTGAGAGTTGTTACATTGATTCCCAGGTGATCAAGAAATGGCAGTCATGAGAATGTGATTTAATAAGCAGCATTCCCATTTAGAGGGATAAAGAGAAAATGAAGACATTGACAGCAGCTTCTCTCTCCCTTCGTCCCAATCAATAATTTTTCCCTGAAAAAGCCTGCTTATGTTTCCCAACATGCTGTATGAAGACCACTAGCTCCACTATCTAGTGGCATAACTATGTGTCTCACTGTATTTCAATTTTAATTTTAATTGATGAAGATAAGCGACAGGAAGAAGAAAATAGAGACCATGAGAAAGTAACTCCAATTATTATGGGTCATCAATGGTACATACACACCAAGAAGGAGTTTTAACTTTCAGCTACTCTGAAAAGGAGAAAGTAGGACATATAAGACATTTATAAAATAATGGATGATGCAAAATAATAGATAATAATCATAGTGGACTCTGCCAGAGTCCATACCTTTGCTCATCCAAATATGACTTCTCGTTTCTTCTATAGGAAAACACGTTGCGTGGACAAAAAGCTGAACGGTGAATGAATACATTCCTCAGCTATGCTTACAACTAGATGTGCCCTGTGACTAAGCCAGGAAACATGGGAGGTGCACAGATGTGAGGGTTACTTCCAGTTTTATGACAACCTCTTCATCTTGGACTTGTGCACTCTCACCTGCTCAGTTGGTAGCATGCAGTCCAAGTGATGATCTAGCAGCTACCACGCTAAGAAAGACTGCCTTAGGAAGTGGTGGACTGCGACATGGGAGGAGCCTTTGTCTCTAAATGTTCCTGTTGGAGTAGATTTACTGTAAATCACTGCCAATCTCAGGGATTGTTAGGAGAAATTTTTTTTTTTTATCTTGTTTGAGCCATTGAACTTTGAATCTTTCTGTTACAGCAGTTGAGTCTAACAAAAAAAGGAGTACATAGAAGTGTAGAAATGCCATTAAAATCCCCCAATATTGGGCATAATCTTAGAGGTAGGGTGGAGAGTGCAAGGAAGAAAATACAGCCAGGTAGAAAGCAAATAAGCTTTGTTACGCCATTGCCTGTGAAAACTTGGAGCAGTAGACTATAGGTCTGCGTATATTTTGACACTACAGGAAAAAAGCTGAACAAAGCTCAGTTGTTCAGAATCCTGCTGCCTTTAGAAAGGTTTACAAAAGTCATGAACTTAAAGAAGAATGGGCCATTTTTTCAGGAGAAACAAAAGTGAATAGAACTTTCGCTAAGAGAAATTATCTCTGCCTGATTTATGTGTCAGTTCTGTAATTTAAAATGAGAGAATGTTCAGAAATTTGGGGCTTAACAGGATTAGAGAAGTCAGCTGTTCCTGTATTCCAACAGGAGGAGATGATGAGTGCTGCTCAAAAATGCCCTCATCTCGTCCCATTAGATTTTGCTCTCATATATGATCCCTAAAACAATCCTCAGGTCCCTGAACATGTACAATCAGGAAGCATGCCATAAAATTTGAACTCCCTAAAAAGGGCATGCTATATTTGGCTCAATTCAGGTGTGGCTATGGATAAGACCTTTTATCAATTAGGATAAAGAAGAACCTTCTAGGAAATCTGGTATAACCTCCATAAAAGAAAACCAAGGTTGCCAGATGCACTAACCAAAATATTATTTCAATGTTGTTGTTTAGGTGTCTTAGCTTGTCAAGATTTTATCATTTTTATTGTCTATGGACCCTTCAGTGTTTCCCAACAGAAGTTTCTATTGTGATGATTCTGTTCCTTTACCGCCACTTTATATTGGGTATTATGGGGAAGAAAGTTGAGAGCAGGAACATTAATCTCTTTGTCATTTACAGGTTGCCAGACTTGAAAGAATCAGGACCTAATATATAAGTCTGTATATTTCCCAGAGATCCTGGATTTTCAGTGGTTGCAGTAATTGGAATTGAACTTGGATTTCCTCTATTGGGTAGAAAGTAGGCATCTTTGTTTTAATGAGAAGAAGGGTATTCACTCGTATTTGTATGACTAGAGGGCTGGACATAGAAGACTTCTTTCTAGTTGTTCCCCTCCAAAATCCATTTGTCTTTTCTTCCATAAGAGAGACTGACCACTTCAGGACTACATTTCCTAGTTTCCCTTATAAGTCTCCCTTATATTTGAAGGTGGGCAGGTACAGAATGATATGTAAAAATTTTTTAATGATTTACATAAAAGTAAAATCCTTTGTCCTCTACTTCTTTTCAACCTTTATGTAACTGACTGGAAGTGTGAATGATTGGAGCCAGTGATGGTGTGGTGAACTAAATCTTTTTGTCTCCCCAAATTTATACATTGAAATCTTAACCCCCATGTTACTGTATTAGGAGGTGGGGACTTTAGGAAGTAATTAGATCATGAGTGTGGAGCCCTTATGAATAAGATTTGTGCCCTTAAAAAGGGGACCCCTGAGAGCTCTCTTGTTCTCTTACTACCATGTAGAGATACAAGAGGATGGAGGTCTGCAATCCATAAGAGACTTCTCAGCAGAATCCAACCATGCTGGTACTCTGACCTAGGACTTCCAGCCTCCAGGATTGCAGGAAATAAGTCTTTGTTTTATAAGCCACACCATGTATGATATTCTGTGACAGCAGTCTAAACTAAGATAGCATTCCACTAGCCTGGATCCCTAAATGGTATCATGGCGCAGAACCCACCTACTTACCCATGTTTATTATGTGTGAGGGAGATAAACTTTTCTCTTATTTGGGCCACTGAATTGTGGATCTCCTTACTAATGAAGCTATAACCAATAATATAGTTGGCAATTAAAGCAACCCTTAAAAATGAACAGACATTCAGTAAATATTTGTTGAATGAATAAGTGATTGAGCAAAAGAATTCAAGAAGACATGATTGTGTTTGAACATGAATAATTTAGAACATTTTGCTATAAATATCTTTATGAAACTTTGTATATGCTTCAGAAGGGATGTCTATTTATATTCACAGCAATGGGAGCAGTGAAAAATGAAACACTTTTGTTTTCTGATATGAATGAAGTTCAGATTAAAAGTTTAAAAGTAGTGTAACTGACCAGTTCATCTGTGATTTTTATATATTGTTACATTATTTTTCAACTTTAAAAACATAAATGATTTGGCTAGAGAAAGTAGACTGTAGTGTTGGCTCTAAGCTTTTCATGCCATTATTTCAGAAAGCTACTGTTTCATTACATTAGTTTCATTTTTCTGTTGTTTAATACTGTGAGTAAAAGCAGACAAATGAATTCAGTATAAACACAACCTGGTTATTTAATTTTTGGTTCACTGTTATTCTTA